CAAGGAGGAGAATCTTCTTCATGCCCAAGTTACAGAGATCGGAAGCTCTGGTGAAGTATTCCCTACAGAAATCCCACAAATCTCTTCTCCAAGGGTGGTGGGTTCAAATTCTCCTGGGCTTTGCTTTTGTTCCCCTTTCCTCCTAGTAATCTCTCCTTCATCTAGATTCCACTCAAAACTGCCTTTGCTTTTAAGTCTTGCTCCTCCAGACCTTTCCTTCTCATGTGACCCTAACCTCTTGCATTTACCACTCTTTCGGGCCCATCCCGTGGACCTGTAAGCACGCACCCACCATCCCTCCTTTCTTTGTACACCCTCCAACACCCCTTCATTCCCAGCTTCTAGCAAATGCTGTGTGTGTCCAGGAATTGTGTGTGCAGGGGTGAGGGTGGCAGGCCAATCCAAGGGGGCAGGGGAGCTCAGGAAGGATTTCTTGGGGGGGAGTCCTGTTGATCTGGGCCTTGAAGGATTACCGGTGAGGACTGCATTACCGGCCACAGGTCAGCCACCCTTGTGTGACCGCTGTGACATGGAGCCCAGTTTTGTGGAGAAGAGGACTCGCGTAGCAGTTCAGACAGAAGATGAGCGGCAGGGTCAGGCTGTGCTAAGTGGTGAATGCCGGAATGAGGACCTCAGGGCCTTTCCCTGGAGGCAGCGTTAGTCCTGTGTTAATAGGGGGGGTCGCGTAAAACAGCAGCATTTTCTGGAGATTGGGGTTCTCGAGGATCGGTTGGAAGTACTGAAGATTGGGCGTGTAAGACCCCTGGCTGGTGGTTTGAACAGGGATTTTTCGGATGATCTTGCAGAGAAGACACTCGGCGGTCACACTTTTCTGCCTGTGATTACAAAGAGGGGATCCGGTAGCCTGTCCTCCCAGGGCCCCAGGTAGGGGTGAGTGCTTTTCAGTTTAAGACTCCGCCCCTGGGTGGGTGCCAGCCCGGAGGGGGGCAGGGAGGGGGGAAATAGTAACTCACCCAGTCGGCATTGTCTTAGCTCTTTTGGGCTCTTGTAACAAAACACCACAGGTGGATGGCTTATAAACAACCACCGTTTATATCAGTCCCGGAGCCCGGGAGGTCCAAGATCAAAGCGAGAGCAGTTGTGTCTGGTGAGGGCCTGCTCCCTGGTTAACAGAGGACTGTCTTCTCCCTGTGTCCTCACAGGGCAAGAGGGGTGAGGGAGCTCCCCAGCATCTCTCTTATAGGGGCACTGATCCCACTCACCTCCTGTTGGCCCCACATCCTAACATCATCACATTAGGGGTGAGGATTTTACTTTTCCGAGGGCATTGATTGCATTCTGGAGAGTTTTCTCGTGACCTAATCAGCTCCAAAAGGCTCCACCTCCTAAAACCGTCACATCAAGGGTTAGGGTTCCGATATCTGAATTTTGGAGAAACGCTTTGACGCTATATCAAGTGTGGTCTGGGCCATACTTACTTTGGTCAGGGTGACTGCACAGAGACCAACCAGCCACCGAGCGCACTCATTGCCTGTCCCCAGGTGTCTCTTCCCATCCCCGTGGGGCTGCAGCTCTTTGCTCCCTGGATTCCAGCTTTGTCACCTGCATCAGGTTACACTTCACTGGGAAGGACACTTGCTTTCAGCTTTGGAGTAGTGGGTGGGGGTGACCAGAAGTCCAGAGTCTTTTTCGGTCTTAGGCCTAGGTCAGGCCCACCCCGTTAGCAAGGAGCCCCGTGTTTGGAACAGTAAAACCTTTACTAGTGTCCCTTTTGACTCAGCTGGTTAAGACCCAAGAGCAGGGGAGTGTGACATGTACCTCCCCCAAGACTGCCTTTGAACCCGTCTTTAGAGGTGAACAAAACCGCACTGTTTCTCCCCGTCGGCCTTGCCCAGGCCTCCCACGTTGCTGTTTTGTTTTCCTCCTTGCAACCCCAGGCCCGGGCAAATCACTAAAAAGTTAGTGCCACCGAGCCTCCTGGCCCACACTGTCCCCTCCCAGATTGCAGTTCACAGAACGAAGTGGATGAGGCCTCATCTTCTGCAGGTTCCACTGCCTTGTGAAGCATGGATGTATGCAAATCTCATTTAGTTCAGTTAGGATTTAGTCCAGGGGCTTTGATGTGTAGATTTGTAGATATCCACCCCCGCGCCCCCCCCCCCCCCATGGCACGGAGGAGGGGGGAAGATAAGGAATTTTCACCACGGAACGAAAAGCAGCTTACTGCGTGAAGTCCGGATCTTAACTGGGAAGAATAAAAAGAATGAAGGTGGCGTGGTTAGGTTTTCATCACAGGACTTGCCCTTCTCGCTGCAAGAATGGAATCTGGTGCTGTCCTGCCTCTGTAAGCCCTCTGCACCTTGCAGCCCCAGCAGCGTGCTGTGCATATCCCAGCAGCCTCCCCTGGCAGCTTGCTGCAAACGCAAAACCTCAGGCCTCACCCTGTGCTGAATCAGAATCCACGTTTGTTTGTTTTTAAGTTTATTTATTTTGAGAGAGAGAAAGTGCCAGTGGGGGAGGAGCAGAGAGCGAGAATCCCAAGCAGGCTCAGCATTGTCAGCGCAGAGCCCAACATGGGGCTCGATCTCACGAACCGTGAGATCAGGGCCTGAGCCGACGTCCAGTGCTTAATGGACCGAGCCACAAAGGCGCCCCCAGAATCCACGTTTGAACAGGGTCCCCTGGTTGTTAGTAACATACATCAAGGCGAAGGCGCTTTCTGCAGCCCCAAGCTTCGCAAAGCTGAACCTGCACACAGAGGCTGGGTTAACACAGATTCCCGGGGCCCGTGCTGAGATGGAGTTTGTAGACCCGAGTCAAAGGTACAGTGTTACTGACGCTGCTGGTCAGCTGCCCACTTGGTTGAATCCGAAGCTCCAGCCAAGTAGCAAAGAGCAGCCCCCAGCTGTACGCACAGGCAAAGCTTCAGGGAAGCAGCCCGATCAGTGGCCCTGAGTGCAGCTGCACCGGGCACAGGAATGACCGTCTAGGCAAGGCATCTCTGGAACACGGCGCTGGGCTGGGTCCACTATCCTGGCCGCTATCCTGCAGGCTGTTGCAGGGTCCCCTCCCAGCAGACTCCGCCCAGAGCCTGGGAGCTCCAGCCAGTTCAGTCTTGATACTCTTAGATCCCTGGACCCCTCCTCCCTTTTCCTGTCTTCTCAAAGCATCTAGCCCCTTGCCTTTGAAGGATTCCAACCAGAAAGGCCCAAAGAGAGCCTGTCCCTGGGGATTCCATCCCCTCCCTCCTAGAGAATGCTAACTGTAAGAACTATTTCTAATGGAAACTCACTGGTTGATGCCAGTGTGCACATACCCACCTTGTAAACAGGGCTTCTGTAAGGACCACAGTATACCTTTCTAGATTTTCTCTAGCTCTAAGGGGGAAAAAAAGGTAACTCTTGCATCACAGATGTCACTATTTAATTAATCTTTAGGTTTTTAAAAAATTCTTTCAGTTCTTGTTAGGGCCTTTGCTATTCATCAGTCCTGAAATTTTCAGCCTATAAAATCCCAGGCTCTGAGATACCATTTCTCAGTAAATACTGTTCCCAGGGTTTTAAATTTTACCACTGGTGATGGTAATCAGTAAAAGGCATATAGATAGAAAAATACTATTTTTAGAAAACATGTATGTAATTTATATAAAAGGGAAATGTATATAGTGAAATAAACATTGCCCCTTGAGCCATGAAGTCATCTTTCATTGTATCAGACCCATGGTGCATCAGTATTTAAATATTTCAATAGGCATGAAGTTTAAAGGTTGAAGAAATTGGCGATTGTGGGGTTTACAAGAGTTGGTAAAGATCTGTTTTGGCAAAGCATGTCTTTCCAACTTGATTTGAATTGGCGCACTTGACAGAAGGAAAGAGCAAGACATATTCAGGATCTAGAAAATTTTCCTTGGTGAGCCGGGTTTCCTGGAGATTTCCTGGAACTACAGTCAAAGGTTATGCAGAAGAGTGTTCTTGGCCTTTGTAACCCTGCACTCGGAAACTTAGGGAACCTTCTACATCAGGAAGGCAGACTCTGAGGAGAAAATACTAACAGCTTGAACTCCTAGTCTTCATGGTCAGCCCTGAAATATTTGTTCGTTCATCTCCTTTTAGAAATTTGGGAGGGTGGTATATCCAGATATATCAACTGGAAGTATTTTATATACCAAAAAAACACAGCTCGAACTAGCTTAAAACCCAAAGGATACTAATTGGCTGATGTTACTGAAAATCCAGAAGCAGAACCAAGTTCAGGCATGGTTTGACCAAGGAGTTAAAACCAGGTGAGCAGGACCTGGTTTCTTTCTCTGTTTCAAGATGGTTGCTCGAAATTCCTGAGGCTACCTGAGTCATCATCCATGAAATCAAGGCGCTCTCTTCCAGAGCTCCCAGAAAAAGTCCTGGGGTTGATGGGACCCGTTGAACTGCTTAGGTAAATTCATGACCGTAAAGCAGAGACAAGTAGTTCCAAGTGATGTGGGCCTGAACCAAGCTGGCTGCCATGGGAATAGGATGCTTTGGCTTAAACCACCAGGCACCCATAGGTCGCTGGGTGACTTAGAGGGCATTTTCACCCCCCGTGAGCAGTGGAGGGAGGCTCAACCCCAGGCAGGTGTCTTCATTGCCAGAAACTCGGTCATCACACGTAGCACTAAATCGGGGGGCTGGAAAGAATCACCTGTGTGTCCAGGAAGACGTGTTCTCATACACCAAGGCTTTTATATCCCCAGAGAAAGGAGGACCTCCCGAATCTGCCTTTGTCTGTGACCTGGGGGGGGGGATGACTTAGAGGTGAGTGTGTCTGTGGGAGGAAGAGCTGGTCACCTGCTGGTCAACCTGAGAGTTTACTTAATAAAGGAGCCAACGCAAGGCATGGACCTTTTGCATGTAAATCCTGATAACAGCAACTACAGTCCAGCCCTAGGCTACAAGAGTTGAATGCGTACAGAAGATGTGTTGGACTTCCAAAACAAACACTTCACAGATTGAGTAATCACATAATTCATGCCTTGTTTTTCTGATGTTTTTTTTTTTTTTCAGAACCGAATGGAGGAAAGCAAAGCACTCTTTAGAACAATTATCACATATCCCTGGTTCCAGAACTCCTCGGTTATTCTATTCTTAAACAAGAAAGATCTTCTAGAGGAGAAAATTATGTATTCCCACCTAGTTGACTACTTCCCAGAATATGATGGTAAGTCAGTGCTCTTCAGCCAGCCCAGTAGCTGGGGATCCGTCTTGCCCCCCAAGCAATGCAAGAGCTGATGCAGCAGCTTACTGTTGCTGCCTTGTGCATGTGTGATTGATGAAGTACAAATTATTGTTGGCCTTGCCCCGTAACCACCTGAAATGTTTCAATTCCCTGACAATGCTGAAAGTTATAGCCAAAGAAAGCAACTTACATGTTTTGAAATAAGTGTATCAGAAGAGGGAACAGCCCCACAGTTTTGACCAATCATGTATCAATCATTACAGTTGGCTCTTTCTTTCGGCAACAGCTGGCTCTTGCCTCTCTATGGAAAGAGAACACAGTTTTGTGACAAGAACCCATGCTCTGAAATCACTCTACCCAGGTTGGCATCCAAGTTTTGACACCTCGTATTGCTAGAACCATGATGAAGTCACTTAATTTCTCTGAACGGTAGGACCAAACTCATGCAGTCGTCTTACAGGCTCTAACAGAGATAACATATGTACGACATTTTTAGCATGATACCTGACACATGGCGAGTGTTAGCAAATATTTATTTGGGGGAGGGGGGAAGGTGCTGCATGGACTGATGCAATCCTATCATCCTTCGGGATGGCACCGACCCCTTGAACTCTTCCTGTAGTGCTTAGAATCCATAACACCCACATCAGTACCCCAATGGCTTTGCATTATTTCCTTACTTATAAGCACTCCTTATAAACAGATCTTGCCTACCCAGCTAGAGTGTGAAATCGTCAATGACTAGATAGGACACCCAGCCATTCCGAGAAATAGTTGTTGACCGGTAACAAAATGCATCCACACCAAGCCACTCTGAAACAAGTCAAAGAGTCACAGCCACCGCCCGAAAGAGCTTTTATGACAGGATACACAAACATCTCCCTATACATACTGCAGTCTAGATGAAGAGTGGCAAACTGTGGCCTGCCACCTGTTTTTATAAAGAAAGTTTTATTGAAACAGCCACACCCTGTTCATTTACACACAGTTTTTATGCTTTTAACAGCAGAACTGAGTAGCTGTGACAGACTCGTCCACAAAACCTAAACTGTTTTCTCTCTGGCCCTCTTTTAATTGAAGTATAGTTGACACATAACGTTACATTAGTTTCAGGTGTACAACGTAGTGATTGGACAAGTCTGTATGTTGTGCTGTGCTCACAAGTGTGGCTGCCATCTGTCCCCATACAACATTGGTGACTGTATTTCCCTACCATTGACTGTGTTCCCTTTGCTGCACCTGTGATCCCTGGACCTCATTCCACAGCTAGAAGCCTGAATCTCCCACCCCACTTTTGTCATTTTCCCCACCTCCCCCATCTGCCTGCTGTCTGGCAGCCATCAGTTTTTAGTATTTATGGGTCTGTTTCTCCCTTTTGTTTATTCATTTGTTTTGTTTTTTAGATTCCATACAAGTTAAATCATATACTATTTGTCTCTCTGACTTACATCACTTAGCATTATACTCTATAGGTCCGTCCATGTTGTCTCAATGGCACTGTCTCATCTTTTATTATGGCTGCATAATATTCCTCTGTGTGTGTGTGTGTGTGTGTGTGTGTGTGTGTGTGTGTGTGTATCCACTTGTCTTTTATTATGTCTCATCTTTTATTATGGCTGCATAGTATTCCTCTGTATACACACACACACACACACACACACACACACACACACATCTCCCTTATCCATTTGTCTATTGATGGACACTTACATTCCTTCTGTATCTTGGCTATTGTAAACAATACTGCTATAAACATAGGTGTGCATGTGTGTCTTCACATTGTTTCCACTTTTGCCAGGATTATGGATCATATGGTAATTCTATTTTTAATTTTTTTGAGGAGTTTCCATATTGTTTTCCACAGTGGTTACACCAGTCTGTATTCCCACCAACAGAGCACAAGGATTCCTTTTTCTCCACATCTTCACCAACACTTGTCCCTTGGGTTTTTATTTTACCCATTGTGACTAGTGTGAGGTGATATCTCAGTGTGATTTTAATTTTTATGTACCTGTTGGAAAAATGTCTATTCAGGTCCTCTGTCCACTTTTAATCAGATTAACTGTGTTGTTAGTGTTGAGTTGTGTAAGTTCTTTATATATTTTGGATATTCAACCCTTATCAAACGTATCATTTGTTTTATGGTTTTAGGTCTCACATTTAGGTCTTCAATCCATTTTGAGTTTATTTTTGTATGTGATGGAAGAAAGTGGTCCAGTTTCATTATTTTTCATGTAGCTGTCCAGTTTTCCCAGCACCGTTCATTAAAGAGACTGTCTTCTCCACATTGTGTATTCTTGCCCCCTCCATCATAGAATAATTGATCATATAAGCATGGGCTTATTTCTGGGCTCTCCATTCCATTGATCTATGTATATGATTTTGTGCTAGTACCATAGTGTTGTGATTACTACAGTTTTAAAAAAAATTTTTTTTTTAGTGTTTTATTTTATTTTTGAGACAGAGAGAGACAGAGCATGAGCGGGGGAGGGTTAGAGAGAGAGGGAGACACAGAATCCAAAGCAGGCTCCAGTCTCTGAGCTGTCAGCACAGAGCCTGATGCGGGGCTCAAACTCAGACGGTGAGATAGTGACCTGAGCCGAAGTCGGAAGCTCAACCGACTGAGCCACCCAGGTGCCCCATGATTACTACAGTTTTGTAGATCTTGAAATTTGGGATTGTGATACCTCCAGCTTTGTTCTTGTTCCTCACGATTGCTTTGGCTATTCAGGGTCTTTTGTGGTTCCATACAAATTTTAGGATTGGTTGTACTATTTCTGTGAAAAATGCTCTTGGTATTATGATAGGGATTTTCTGGAATCTGTCGATTGCTCTGGGTAGTATGGACGTTTTAATGATACTAATTTTTCCAATCCATAGGCATGGAAAATTTTTCATTTGTTTGTGTTATCTTCAGTTTGTTTCATCAGTTTTATAGTTTTCAGAGTACAGATCTTTCACCTTCTTGGTTCATTTTATTCCTGGGTATTTTCTTATTTGGGGCTCAACTGTCAATAGGATTGTTTTCTTCATTTCACTTTCTGCTACTACATCATTAGTGTATAGAAACACAACTAACTTTTGTGTATTAATTTTGTATCCTGAAACTTTACTTATGACTTCTAGTAGTTTTTTGTGAAGTCTTTGGGGTTTTCTCTGTAAAGAAATACAGTGTATAGGAGCACCTGGTTGAGCTACCGACTCTTGTTTTAGCACAAGTCATGATCCCAGGGTCGTGGGATGGAGCCCTGAGTCCTGAGAATCCGAGCTTGGGATTCTCTCTCTCCCTCTGTCCCTCTCCCATGCATATACTCTTGCTCTCTCTAAAAATGAGAACAATAAAGGTTTTATTAAAAAATGCAGTGTACACATAGTGACGGTTTAACTTCTTCCTTACCAATTTGCATGCCTGTTATTCTTTTTTCTTGTCTGATTACTGTGTCTAGTACTTGGAGTACTGTATTGAATGAAAGTAGTGAGAGTGGAGATCCCGATCTTCGGGAAAATGTTTTTCCCTATTGAGTATGACGCTAGCTGTAGGTTTTTCTTATGTGGCCTTTATTATGTTGAGGTATGTTCCCTCTAAGGTAACTTTGTTGAGGATTTTCATCATGAACAGATGTTGAATTTTGTCAAATGCTTTTGATACATCTCTTGAGATGAGCATGTAGTTTTTATCTTTCATTTTGTTAATGGGATGTATCACATTGATTGATTGTGAATATTGAACCACCTTTGGATCCCTGGAATGAATCCCATGTGACCATGGTGAATGATCCTTTTAGTGTATTATTCAAAGTGGTTTGCTAATATTTTGCTGATTTTTGCATTTAAGTTCATCAGAGAGTTTGGCCTGTAGGGTTTTTTGGGTTTGTTTTTTGTTTTTGTAGTGTCTGTAACTGGTTTGGGTAGGAGGGTAATGCTGACCTTGTAGAATGTATCTGGAAGCTTTCCTTCCTCTCTGATTTGTGTAATAGATGGATATAGCCAATTCAGAATAGATACTAATTCTTTTTTAAATGTTTGGTGGAATTCACCTGTGAAACCACCTGGACTTTTGTTTGTTGGGACTTATTTGATTACCAGTTCCATTCTGTTACTAGCAACTGATCTGTTCAGATTTTCTATTTCATCCTGATTCAGTTTTGGAAGATTGTATGTTTTTAAAAATTTATCTATTCTAGATTGTCCAGTTTATTGACATATAATTTTTTGTAGTAGTCTCTTACATTCCTTTGTATTTCTGTGGTTGGTTGTTACTTCTCTTTATTTCTAGATGAGTTTGACTAAAGGTTTATCAATTTTGTTTATTTTTTTAGTCTCTATTTCATTTATTTCTGATCTAATGTTTATTATGTCCTTCCTTCTAATCTCAGGCTTTTTTGTTCTTTTTCTAGTTCCTATAGGTATAATGTCAGATTGTTTGAGATTTTTGTTTCTTGAGGTATGTCTGTATCATTACAGATTTCACTCTTAGAACTGCTGCATATCAAAGATTTTGGAACTTTGTGTTTTCATTTTCATTTGTCTCCATGTATTTTTTAATTTGCTCTTGGATTTCTTTGTTGGCCCATGGGTTGTTTAGTACCATGTTGTTTAGCCTCTGTGTGTTATGTTTTTTCCAGTTTTTTTCTTACTATTGATTTCTAGTTTCATACCATTCTGGTCAGAAAAGATGCATGATATGATTCTAATCTTCTTAAATTTATTGAGACTTGTCTCCTGAAGAATGTCCCATGCGCACTTTGTTGGTTTTGGATAGAATTTCTATATCTGGTCTAATATGTCATTCAAAGACATGGTCTCCTTATTGATTTTCTGCCTGGATTGTGTATTCATTGATGTACATGGGTTTCAGAGTCCCTTAGTATCATTTTATTACTGTCAGTTTCTCTCTTTATGCCATTAATATTTGCTTTCTGTATTTAGGTGCTCCAGTGTTGGGGGCATAAATATTTACAATTTTTTTTATCCTCTTGATG